TATGAGTAACACTAAATCCTTACCCAAATGCAAATAGAGAGTAATGATGTGCAGCTTTTGTTCAGAAGTTCTTTAGACCACATGGTGCCTTACAAAAAGGACCAATACTAATATTATTTTTGTATTGAGGCCAAAGCCTTGGGCCAAAACCAGGTTGAATATTTGCCTTGGTGTAATACAAACTTTTAATGTGCAGCAGCCCTGGCCCCAGGAAGCTGAAAGTGTCCCCACATTAGGGAGGGGCTGAGGGGCAGAAGATGCTGTTCACCCACGCGGGCAGGCAGCCCAAGCTGTAGCTGTATCAGTAGGTTGGAGTGCAGTGGGAGGCATCAGTGACTGAAATAGTTGGTGCTGATCCCTGCATCTACCTTCTTCATGAGTCAGGGGTTATATTCCAACCTAGAGTTAGTCTGGTCTTCTGGAACAAACGCCCCCTCACCCATGGGGTTCAGAGCTGCCCAAATAAGAAATAATTGAGTGGATTGTTACGTTCTTGTGACAGGCTGGAGAGCGTTTACAGTATGCTTGGCATTCAGCTTTGACATGGGGTTTGCACGCAACAAAACACCTCTGTGAGCTGAGCCGTACAGTAAGTGGAGATGACGAGGAAACTTGCTTCAGAGCTATATTGCTGCTCTGAACCAAAAATACTAATTTGGAGATTGTCTTAACAAGTCAGCTAGGTAAGGTAGTAGTTAGCCATATCCTTGATGCTGTAATAAAATATTTGCTTGCTTCTTTATAACCAAGCTATCAGAGTGACAGTTTCGAACATTTTTCTTTTTAGGCCATATTACTGCTATTTTCCATTCTCTCTGGGACCCCGATCCTGCATCGGGCAGGTGTTTGCACAGGTAAGCAGAGGCCTGGAATGACACTTCATTAGCAAGCACTGGGCCAGCTCAGGGTGCGCTGGCCATGGCTGGTGGTGGGGGACCAAAGGCAACACTGATGGTGCACTGACCCTCTTCCCTCTAGCGGGAAGATCCCCACCATGCCTGTGACAGGGCATGTCTCTCAAATGCTGTCACGTGAGCAGGCATACATGTACCAAACTGGTCCCATGTGACCTGTGCCCACATGCAGACAAGGCACCTGCAGGGACCCTCTGTCCTGGGTTACTGTGTTTGGATCCAAACCCCTTGATGGGAATCACCATCAGCTTCCCTTTGCCAGCCAAGGTCAGACACATGGGGGATGTGCAGGGGCTCTTAGGGGCCATCCCGCAGCTGCAGCTGGCAGAGTCAAGGCAGGGAAAACATCAGCTGGCAGAATACCTTTCCATCAAGCCAGGACTGGTTCTGAGAAGGGCAGGAGGGGACTACATGGATGGGAGGAACAATTTAATGAAGTATGTGAGTACCTGAGCATGGCAGAGAGCATTTCAGAGGGACAGTAGGAGGCCAGCTCTTCGGGTCTGTGCTTTGAGTTCATCTAAGCACCAGTGCTCAAAATCTTGAGGTTAAAGTGCTTGATTTCCAAAATGGGGTTAACACATGAACACAGGGACAGATCTTGGTGTTAGTTGTCTTCAAATCCAGGAAGCCCCAGGCAGCTCTCTTTTTCCTGCCCAAACTCAGCCAGCTGCATTAACAGAGTAACATTTAACTTTTAAATCTCTATATTGACAAAGCAGCATGACATAGTGCACTGACTTTGAGTAGCTGCAGTCTGCTTTGCTTTTCTTCCTAACAGATGGAGGCAAAAGTGGTGATGGCAAAATTGCTGCAGAGGTTTGAATTCCAGCTGGTACCAGGACAGAGTTTTAAACTCTTGGATGCTGGAACCTTTAGGCCACTAGATGGAGTCATGTGTAAATTAAAGCCAAGGAGCCTGGCAAGAGCCTGCCAGGCGTGACTACTCAGGGAGAAGAGCATGACATGGTAGTGGTAGCATTTCTTCTGATTTTGAAGATCTTCACACTAATCAAAGGTTAGATTTTGCAGGCCCCTTTAGAGGATTACTGGTCTGAAATTTTTTCTAGCCTTCCTCATCATTTACTGCAGAAAACCTTAGCAGAGTCACTCTAGTGAGCATCTTTGATCTGGAAGTGTACCTGGAGCTGCAAAGCCCATTATTTTCCTGGGGGAGTATTTGGTTCTGCCCAGACTTAGAAAAGAAGATCCTTTCACTGGGGTATCCCTGGAGCTCCCCACAAATATACACTCAAATCCCAGCTGACAGTTTCCACTAAGTTTACTTACGAGACAACATGGTCTAACTAAGCCCTTGTTTGGGGAGTTTCCTACTTACACAATGAAATCAGAAAACTTAGTAGAACACAAGATTTGGGCTGAACTTGGGAGGAGGATTTTGGAGCTATTCTCTTGGTCAAAGCAATTTTCCCATGCCTGTTCTAAATGAAAGGATTGATGGGAGCAAACCGAAACAAAAATTGGTGACTCTGGCCACACTTTTCCCTGTTGCTCCTGCCTCATTTTTCTTCAGTCTCTCCTACTTTTCTTCCAGTATTATTCAGAGGGGAAATTCACAATCTGTACCACAGGAAGGGGCTCTCCTGCTGCCTCCTACCCCTCCCCACAGGCAGTGCTTATTCTCCTGAGACACTGTTCTTTTGGGGGGGTCTTGCTAGGTTTATTTTAACTTTGATCATTTTCTTCATCTGGCTCACCGTGAAGCTACATGAATGCTTGGACCAGACAGTCTAGTAGGTACAGTAGGGTTGGAAGTAAGTGCCTGGAACAAATGCTGCTTAAAATTATATTGCCACTGAAGAAACGCATCTGCAACGTGAGCCAGAGGCAGGAGAGGGTCCTGCATCCCCTTCTTCTGCAGATGTGCCAAAATTGCTTGCTGCGTGCAGGTTTGCAGCCTGGCTCTGCTAGGGAAAAAAATGATCATGTGAAAATTCCACCTTCTAGAAATACGTGGATGCCTAGTATGAGTTTGGGCCTCATCTATAACGAAATACAGGGAATTCAAGACATTTGGTGCTGCCACTGTTATTTCTTACCTTTTTGAATTAAAAGGGCAAGAACACAGTCTGTACACTGGCAAGTTCCCATGGTGGTTTCTGCACTGGGAGAGTAACGTCCCAGAGCTTTTCCTAGCTCCGCTCCTGTTGTGTGCCATCTCGTTCAGCGCAGCAGTGGGATAGCAGGCCAGTAAGGTTGATGCAGCCTTTGATAGCATAAGCAATGTCATACAACATATTAATATGATTTATATCCAGAGGTACCAATACTTGTATTCAGTCCATCTGTTAGTAGACCAGCTCTTCAATCCCTTGTGCTGGAGATCTGCTTGTATCCTCCTAGACATTAATAAAATCTCATTGGGAAAACTGAGGACTTTCAAGCTGGATGTGTGTTCCTGGGCGCTGGCGTGGTCAGGAGCGGGATGCTCTATGTCAGTCGGGCTAGATATGCTGGTGGCATGACAAAAGGCTGAATCCTGAGAATATGCTAAAGGGAGGGAAGTATCTCAGCAGCGTAGGGAGTGGTGGGGGAAGCTGTGAACAGCACATAGGCAGCGTGACAGACACACTGGCAAATCGTGCTGTGGAGGTGGGAGCCGCCACCATGCCAGCTCTCTGCTCTGCCCTACTAATGGATGAGTTGAGATGCGTTAGTCATACAAACATGTATTCCCGTCTGCTACCTCTGCAGTGGGGATGGACACCTCCAAGGAGAGCTCTAGGCGAGTGGTAGTATGTTAAAACCCTGCAGCGAGTTTTTGTCAGACCTCATCTGCCCGAGATGGGGGCTTCCTGCCCGGTCCGTGCTTACTTTCCTCAGAGGATGCTCTTCCTGCTCTCTCTGCAAGCCCAAATGCCCTCCGGCTCTCAGGGACTGCTGCCACAGGCCTTTCTCCTGTTCTCACACCCAAGAGCTCTTGCCAGACTGTCGCCTGTCAATGCCAATCGCTTTCCAGCAGATGGCAAGCGCTCCTTGTCGATGCACCCGGCAGGAGCAGCGTTCCTCAGCTCTGACAGCTCCTCTTAGGGAGACGAGCTGTCCTGGCTCCTCCAGGGCATCATACCACAGGGGCAGGTGATGCCCTGTGATGCTCTGCAGACACCCTGCAGTGTTCTCACGGTTTCTTGCTGCACGCCCGACCAGGAGGTGATCCCTTGTCCGCCAAAAAAAAAGGAGCAAGTTCACACACTGGCAAATCGTGCTGTGGAGGTGGGAGCCGCCACCATGCCAGCTCTCTGCTCTGCCCTACTAATGGATGAGTTGAGATGCGTTAGTCATACAAACATGTATTCCCGTCTGCTACCTCTGCAGTGGGGATGGACACCTCCAAGGAGAGCTCTAGGCGAGTGGTAGTATGTTAAAACCCTGCAGCGAGTTTTTGTCAGACCTCATCTGCCCGAGATGGGGGCTTCCTGCCCGGTCCGTGCTTACTTTCCTCAGAGGATGCTCTTCCTGCTCTCTCTGCAAGCCCAAATGCCCTCCGGCTCTCAGGGACTGCTGCCACAGGCCTTTCTCCTGTTCTCACACCCAAGAGCTCTTGCCAGACTGTCGCCTGTCAATGCCAATCGCTTTCCAGCAGATGGCAAGCGCTCCTTGTCGATGCACCCGGCAGGAGCAGCGTTCCTCAGCTCTGACAGCTCCTCTTAGGGAGACGAGCTGTCCTGGCTCCTCCAGGGCATCATACCACAGGGGCAGGTGATGCCCTGTGATGCTCTGCAGACACCCTGCAGTGTTCTCACGGTTTCTTGCTGCACGCCCGACCAGGAGGTGATCCCTTGTCCGCCAAAAAAAAAGGAGCAAGTTCAGGAAAGCTGCTCCTTGGGGCCCTGTATGCCAACTGGGTGCCAGCGCAGGCTGTGCCAAACCCTGTTGAGAAACTTCAGATCAGAAGTGCCTAGGGAGACACAGCTGTGCCTGCCGTGGGCTATAAAAAGGTCTGGGGGCTGCAGCTTTCTTGGACACCACAGGAAAGGACAGTTTCTGCTTATTCTCAGGAAGAGAAACACGTTCTTTCACTTATGGGGCAAGCAGTCATTATCTGCACCAAGCACTCTGCTAGGGATGGCGGATGGTAAGACAGAAAAGCAGAGCAAGGTCTGTGCCCCCGTGCTCTTCCCAGCTGCTTGTAGGAAAGTATCATGCCTGCAGCTAATTTTCTTCTTAGCCTTTTCCTGGCTCTTGGGCAAAGCAAAGAAAAATCTGGAAGTAGCTGGCGGGGTGATTTTTCCCTGGGTGCCACCCAGGCGGGGCTGAGGGCAACCCTCTTGTGGTGTGCCTGGAGGCTGGATGCAAAAAGGATTCTCAAGCTGCTCGGGAGGGCTCCTGCCCCTGCACCCTGCAGGTAGGAGCCTGCCCTCCAGCAGCTCCTCTTGCTTTCACCCTGCCCTGTATGTGTGCCTTGCAGCCAGACGCTCAGCTGGCAGGCATCAAGGTAAGCAGCTGCCCCCAAAGGCGAGGACACTGCTGGCAATGCTCACTCCCGAGAGTCTTCATCAGAGGTGTCTAAGTCTTCCTCCTGTTCTGACGGATGGCTGCTGCAGGTTTCTCTGATCCCCCTCCCAGACCCATAAACTCTTTGCCTCTCTCTTCTGAATTGATGCCCAGGACTTTCATGTACATTCTCAGAGCAAGGACTTCCCCCTAGGATTTCTCCCCAGGTTTTTTATGCTAACCCAAGAGCTTGATCTCATCCCTTTTAGATCAGTGTCATAGACAAGAAACGGGGAAAACGCTGCTGCCTAGACCTCTTGGGACAGGAGGGAACCAGATAGGGGATGTGCACCCAGAGGAGCCTCTGTCTTTCAGAGGAAAGCAAATTCCTTCACTGCTGGCATGGGAGAAGGGAATTCTTTCTCAGGAGCACAGGAGACTCCCAGTTTGCATCTACACCTTCCGTACAAACTCACCTACATTTCCAGAGAGGAGCCCAGCTAGCATTAGTGCCAGGAGGGAAGTGGGAAAAATCACCACAATTTTGCATGAGAGGAATCTCTTCCTGGCCCTCACAGGGAGCCAGGAGAAGCTCAGAAGCACGGGATTCAATCACAGTCATTGCACTTAACAGCACAGCCTGATATCTGCTGAACAGCAGATAGCCTTCTGCTCCATCTGTAGCCTCTGGGGGAATGAATATAGATAAGGAAGCGTAAGATACTGTCCTCTGTTGCTGGAGCCAGGTATGCAGAGCAGGAATTGGGATACTTTGTTCCCTTGCAGGCGCATCTAACCCAGCCGTGGTCAGCTCCTAATTGCTTTCTTCACCACAGCAGCTTTAGACCGCTGTGCTAGGGGTGTGCAGCCATATCTTCAGAAAACCTGGTGCTCCTGGGATGTGGTGGGCCTAGTGCCCACACAGGATAGCTACACACGCATTTGCACTCGGTGTGGTTACACGACAAGAGCTGCAACAGGAGGCGTTCTCTGGATCTAAGCAACATCTGCTGTTGAGACAAGACAGCCACAAAGTGGGTGTCGACAGCGTGTACCCAACCCATCTCCTCCACACAGCGCTCACATGCCAGCAAAGGCAATAAGGTCAGGCAGAAACTTCTGCTGCTGCGTTACAAGAGAGGGATGGGTTGGGATGGGATGGGTCCTACAGGACTGTTGCGCCTTCTCTCAATTTTCCCCCAAATGGCAACATCCTGTGTTCTCCTGGGCTTAGGGGCAAAAGAAGCACTTTTAGAAGAGGAATAACATTTCCTCACTGAGGCAGTGGGTCTGCTCTTCTTCACTCCTTCAGTGATACCAGCAACAAGGGAGGCACCAGCAGGGTGGGGGAACTGCCCACAGTGGGCCACTGCAATCCTGCCAGCATCTCGGTAGGATCATTTTAAGGTTTGTCTATCTTGCTGCCCATGCCAATGCCTTGTTCTGCTCTGCAGGACACTTGATGAGATTATTTGTAATTAATCACCACCTGTATGTCTTGTGGTGAGGTTTGGAGGATGCACCCAGCTGATGCTGAAGCTGAAGGGGGACCCTTTGCTCTGTTTTACTCCCTGTGACCTCAGCTTATTGCTGTAGCCCTCAGCCCCTCAGCTGCAGGTACTGCGAGTCAGGGAGGCTCAGAAAGCAGAAAATAAAATGACATGAAGAGATCAAAGCTAGCAGGCTCAGAAAACTTTCTACAACATCTTCCCTTCTCACATAAGACCTCCTTGTGAAATGTTTGGTGGCAAGCCCTGCCCCACTCACCATGCCCACGTGTACCCATGCACAGGTCAACGCAAGGTAGCAGGTATTTTTTGTCTGGCTCTGAATCAGTAGTTTTGGGTGTTTAACAAAATGGGAACTGCTGACTGGGGTATTTCCCGTTCAAGCTCTGAAGTGTCTCCTGGCCTTGTCCTGCTCCACTACCTCAGCAGGCCCTCGGGTGAACATGGTTAAAGCTATTTGCCATCCACTGTGGTGAGCAGCCAGACTCCTCCCTGACGGCACTTTGCTCTGTGTTCAGCACTTTTTTGCTCCCTCCCAGGGCCTATGACACACACAAGCTCTGCTCTGAACTTCTCCAATGGTTTTGTACCCTCAGAACAAAGCATCTTCTGATCCCCCTTCTGGTTCAGCCAGCAAAGGTCTCCTGAGCTCCTGGGAGCGAGACAGTGCTCAGGAGCAGGACCTCCACCTCTTTGCAAGGACACCTCTCTCTTCAAAAAACTGAGGTGACATCTATATTAACGAAGGAAATATGCCCTGGACCTTTTCCTGGCACTGAGGCGGACTGGCACAGAACAGCCGTGTCTGTCAAGCTCCCCCATCCTTCAGAATAGGATGACTGCGTGCAACCTGCGTATCAGGAACGGCCTCTGGCACATCTGGACTCCCAGATCATACCAGGAGTTGTCAGGAGAGTGCTAACGGCCAGTGCCTAGGAACGTACCTGGCGCTTTAACTTTTCCAGTCTGCACTAGTCTGAACTAGTCTCTACCAGCGGGCTAACCCTGCCAGCAGGCCATTTAGTTCCAGTTCTGAACTCTCATCCTTCCTCTCTCTGGCTCCATGCCCGAAGGAGAGCAACCTCAGCCATGCTGCTTTCCACACATCTCTCCTTTGCTTTGGAAGCTTCACCACCCTGTCTCATGCTCCAGCTGTCCTTCTCCTCTTTGGTCCATCTATAGGGTTTGCTTCTTATCTATAGTGTCCCCACACTGAGGTCCAGCTGAGGGTCTTGGACTCTTTACCCCATGCCAGCGTCCTCACTGGACCAGTGCTAGAGAAATTGTTCCTCCAGTCCAGACCCATTGTAAAAATATTAAAGAACTGCTTCCTTCTTTTCAAATGGCCTTTATTTAATTAAGCCTCGCTCTTGCTCCATTTCCTTGAAAGATCACAGCACTGTAAGCTACAAGCAGACACCAGAGCATCTCCAGCGCCTGAGGCACCAGCAGTGTCCCCTAAGCAATTTCGCTGGATCCAGCCTAAGTATCCTAGCAGGGACTACTGCCACCAAGCACCAGGGAAGAGTCCAACTCTCTGAGGTCTTTTCAGCTCCTCTGGTACGAGTTGGTCCTTGTCTTGCTCACCCTCACCTTCCATCTCTTCCTTCTTTACCTCCTCTCCCTTCTTTTCTTTGCACAAACCCTCCGAGGAACTAGAGGACGCTCAAATGGCCGCGTACTCCTCTGTTGCATCCCTGCAGCAGCACTTTGCTGTGTTTCCCATTCGAGGTGTCGGCTCCATCAAGCGAGGCCACCTCTTGTGCCATTGACTGCAAGAAGCCTTGCAGAGCAGAGCCATGATTTTGGCAGGAATCCTTAAGTGCGACTATAAAGCAAATAAATAATTAATCATTATTATTTTTATGTATCTGTGAGTCTTCTCTAATAGGTCTTGATGTTATTACGGTGCTGAGGACAGGCTGAAATTAGATAATACTAGACTCAGCTGGCATCTATTCCCTTGGAAACACAGGTAAAAATGCATTTAATAGCTCTCCAGTGACAATGAATATTCATTAATATGACACAGACATATACTTGATTTGAAAATAAGGGCAGTAATTAAAGAGCTATTAAGGCTAAAAAGCAACAAAGGAAATTCAGCTACTGAAAGGGCTGTTCTGGGATCAGCCCCTAACCTCTACGTGCGTGGATAAGCACAGGCGGCCTGAGATCTTCTCCACTGTTTTACCTATGGTGGGGTTGCGGGGTCGGCCTTCCCTCCCAAACTCTGTCATCTGGAAATGTCCTGATGAATTCAGAGTTCATTTTTCCCGCTGTCTTGCAGAGCAGCTGCACTCCGCTGTGGCGGGGCTGCTCATACCCACCACTCACGCGCTGTTCCTGTGGTGTTGAACCGATGGGAAGTGGAGGGGAAACTTTCTGCAGGCTTTTGGGAAGGAAGCTATTTATAATTGATCGCTTATGTTCATTATTCCTATTAACATAGTCTTGGGGAATCACCTGTCTTGTTACCTGCCTTGCTGTAATCTCTGAAAATCTCCATCCCGCAGGCTCTCCTATCAAAGGTGAGTTTCTCAGGGAGGTTTCGCAAAGGTTCCTTCGCAGGGGTGGCTTGAGGAAGCGACCTGAGCAGCACACGTTCTGTGTTACGAGCGAGTCAGGAGAGAGGCAGCGGCACTGCTGCACCTGGAGGGAGGCGAGGAGGAGCGGACGCGTCCAAGGGCAGCGGCAGCACCGTGGGACCGAGCGGTCGCACTGCTCCCGGCCAGGGCAAACCCTGTGTAATCTCACCCACCGTGTCTCCTCCCGGTGCGGGCACCAAGGGCAGGGGCTCGGCGGGGGTGGGGCCCTCAGCGACAGGGCAATTTGGAAATTGCAGCCACCCCGGCTGGCAGAGGAGCAGTGTAGATGTGCCTCCTCAGGTGTGCTGTCAGGAGGAGGTTACCGCACCCGGCCGTGCATCACCCTGCCGCCTTTCTGGGGAGGGTCGCTCAGGATGGTTATGCCACCGAAGAAATGACAGCAGCAACTGAAGCAAACCAGGCGGAGAGGCAGAGCGTTATTTTGATTTCTAACCCAGCAGCATAATGGTGAATAGAAAAGTGAATCGACCCATTGGGCCGGTGTTTCAGGCCACTTGGCGAGGGGAGTTAACTGCGTATCACCTAAATTAAGAAGCAGGTAAACGGCATCTGCCTTTGCCCCGAGCCAACGTGATGACTGGCGGCACAGACGTGTGCGTAGGACGGTGACGGCGGGGAGGCAGGCAGCCCCTCCAGCTGCCTCGCAGCCATCTCGGCGATGCTTTCCTCGCCTTCTCCGGTACCTGTGTCAGGCGGGCAGCCCTGAGCTGGCTGCGTGGCACCGGGCTGGTCCGTTTCCTCACTGAGAAATGATGAAGTTGTGTTTTCCGCCTGGATTGACTGGTTTTGAAGGCGAACGGTTTTGCTGCGGGTTATTTTTTCTGGAAACAATTGCAATTCCACGCTTCAGGCAGCATATTGCTGTTTCAACCTAAGGGGGTTTATCCTTCCAGTAAGGGAGAGCGGCAGCGTCCGCTTTTCTTACAAACCTAACCTGGGACTTGCCAAAGGCACGGGAACGCGGTGTCCCAGTTCCTTCTTATTTTTTTACCCGGTTTGCATCCCTCGGCTGCGTTCTGCCGCGGCTGCAGCAGGACGGGCGAAACTCACGCCCGTGAAATCCGCGCGTTTCGCCGCGGACGACCGG